AACGCAATACTCTTTAATAAGACTATAAAACTGTAATTAAGCTATTATGATGGTGCACATGCCCGGGTCTATTACTTGAAGGTTGTTCTAACTATTTAGCTATGGCATCTTGGACCATCACGTCTGATTTGGGAAGTTAAGTTTCGGTTTAAATACCCCCTGAAATGGCTTAGTTGGGAAAAGTCAATCGGGAATAAAGTATGCCTGCACCACATGTCGGAGAGGCAGACGATGGCAATGCGGGAAATGTGGAGTTCTGCAGGATAGAAATTTGTCGCCTGCAGACGGCCATCTCATCTAATGGGAACACTACGTGCTACACCTGGGAAAATAAAGTGGCCATTTGCGGGAGGGGATCGACTTGCCGAATCGACTTTCCAAGGAAGACCGAAGCCATAAATGCTGGATCCTGACATGTGCGGAGTACAGAACTGAAATTTCCCGTCGTGTCTTTCAATATTCACGTCTTTTCCGCCTTTCTCACTCTCCTGTTCTGCGCCGCAGTCCAGGTCTATCTGTGCATGTTCTTCATTTCCAAGGGAAACTAAGACTAAAACAAGATCATGAATTTCAACAGAGTTTAGCGGAGATCTAGATGGTGGGCGTTTCGATCTCCAATGAGCATGGTGGGACCATAAAGGTTACTGATAAAATCCAGGTCTCTTAAGGAAGGAGTTGAATCATGGTGTTAGGGTGGAAAGGAGGCATACTCGATGTTATAGTGGCGCCGTGGAAATCTGACCTCACAGATATGACTTCGTGGCCACTATTCCAGAAGTGATCAATGAGCATTGAATCTAGAGCGGAGTGCACATAAACAGCAGAGCCTCCTGGTTGGAAATGTTGGCTTATAACTGTAGAATTCACGTATGCAGGGTGCAGATTTCAGTTTCAACTCACTAAGGCATATGACTAGAGGTGATATTTCACCGATATAGTGAGGGATCTCCGCTCTCATATTCTTGAATCCTGGCAATTTAGCGTGCAGGATTAATGGAGGCGGGCTTGATGCATCGCCGTCCATTGAGCAAGGAGGGGAATAAGTGCGATAAGAGCCGTGAGGGCCGCCATAAGGTCATTCACCTGCTTTTGCAGGGAAACAATATCTGTAGACAAGCTTGTGATGTCTACTGGCTAGGAGGCAGGCGGGCTTGGCTGAAGTGCTAGCCCATTGTTGCGTGGCTTTGAGCAAGTGGGAGCCATACGGTCCCACGCACTAGGGCTGAAAGGGCCCGAATATGGATTTGTCGAGATGTCTGATGCTGAGAGGATGGGAGCAATTGTGGCAGGCTGTTTCCTTGGGTTGACAAATGCAGGTGTAAATGCCGGCTGCTTTGGAGCTGTAGCTGTAGCTGCAGATGGCAGAGGGCTGGGGCTGGGTGGGAGAGGCGGGAAATGTTCCATATTTTGAGGTGGCGTCTGCGTCAAATAGTGGGATGCGAGAAGGTCTTTTGCAAGTTTATTTTCGCGAAATTGTTCCTTCATAAGATTTTTTCCAAAGCTACCCTTCTCTGAGGACAATCTGAAGAAGTTGAAATGAGTACAGCTTTCATTCGTTGACATACTCTTTAGGAATGTCCATTCTTGCCACAGAATGAACATCTAGTGGCGTTGTTGGAAGATGATGCAAGATGTCCGAATACCATGCATTTGAAGCACTGGATATTCCTGGGTCTTTCAGAGAAGACCTCGGCCTTGCAGGAAAGTGGGCCGATTTTCAGTGCTATATTGTCGAGTAGGCTTCGTGAGTTGTTGTTGTCAACTGCCTACACAAGGAGAAGGGGGTGTGGTTGACCAGTTCGGGGTTAAAGAATCATTGGCGAGTGTTATTCCGGATTCTTCAAGGAATTCGTTAATATGTGTCACTTCCTTATCAAGTGAAACGCCCTTTATGACGAACTTAAGGAGTCCGCGCTTGTATTAGGGGCATGGGCAGTGCCCATATCAGATGGCAATTTGTCAATAAGACTTACGGCATTTTGTTGGTTGGGGGACGTCCAAGACGTATCCTGTCTTGACTTTCTGATGTTGGTTATTCAATACCTTTGACCGCTCGAGGAGGGCTCTAACAAAGGCTATCGGACTACGGAACTTTTCCTGTACCGCATATATAAACAAAGGGGTTTCGGAAGGTGTCCTGCACTGGCCTCTTGGTTCGTGTAGGATTCTGAGTGGGGCTGGCGTTGCTGTTGCGCCTACGTCTGGAAGTGACATAAGTGAATGGAGTAGGGTCATTGTCCTCTTGGAGCGGGGCTTCTATCGATACGCTCTCCCTAGTTAGAGACGCAGCTGTCTGCACCTCAATAGCAGAAGGTAAGAGGGAGTCATAGCAGTTTGTTGAACGAGTATATGAAGTCGTGGGGAATCCATCAATGATGTTCCTCAGGGTGATGTCACTAAATTAGCAGTTGGGTTGGCAAAATACGTAATTGACCTCTCCATTGTTGGGGTTCTGGTTTGGAGTTCTTTCCTCGAGGGAGGTAGTGTGCTTTTGTTCCGCCTTTTGGCGCGGGAACGTGTCTCGGTCACTGGACCCATGGGTCAAGGATTGCTTGGAGGTGGGAAAGAAAATAATAAAGCAAGGAAGCTGGAAGGAGGAAATAGAAAAGTAAGACCATTAAGGGAAGTAAGATCCAAATATGCAGATACGAGACGGAAGTAGGCGAGAGATGTTAATGTAGCGATGAAGTAAGGAGTGGGCAAGGATTATAGAAGGCGGAATTGAAGAGTGGGGAAGACGGATACTCAAGAGTCAGTGAAAGCAGGATGTGGGAGGGAGAACAGGAAAGAAGAGGGAGAGGACGGAGTCATTAGCTTTTTGTAGTATATGAGAAAAGTGAGGCGTTAGGAGGAATAAGAAGAGAGAGAGAGGGAGAGAGGCTTGATGAAGGCAAAGAAAAATTGATAGAAAAGTATGCCACTCCAATGCAGAGGTGCGTAAGGAAGGAGCGAAGGAAAGAAGAGGGGAGAGTAAAGTGCGAGAGTGTGGAGGAGAAGAAGGACAAGATAACGAGTCAAGGGGTGAGAAGAGCAGAGAAGACAGATATCAAATAGGGAGAAAAGGGGCAATTTGACAATGACACATGAAGACGGCCAAGAGGTGACAAGTGCGAGAAAGATCATGGAGTCTACTTTGCCGTACTACGAAAAATGGGAATTTATTACGCAGTACTGATCATGCAGGGAAAGTTGAATGCGCAGAATTAAGTACTAGAGACGAATGAGTTGAAAGAGATTAAAGATACTCGATGAAATATCTCTGTTGAACCAGTGAAATTTGACGAGTTATACAAACCTGGTTTGCAAACAGGGAACTTCTTAATACATACTCATTTGATGGCATAATGAACTTGTAAGTACCAAAAATTAGGATTGATTCCTCTTACCCCTTGATCACACTTACCCAGACTTACCTTTTTCCAGATGATGAACGCGATACTCTTCAATGAGACTATGAAACTGTAATCAAGCTTTTATGATGGTGCACATGCCCGGGTCTATTACTTGAAGGTTGATCTTCCTGTCTTGATATGGCATCTTGGAGCATCAGGTCTGATTCAGAAAGATAAGATTTGGTTTAAATTCCCCATTGAAATATCTTAGTTGGGAAAATTCAATCGGGAAAAAGTATGCCTGCACCACATGTCGGAGAGGCAGACGATGGCAGTGTGGGAAATGAGAAGTTCTGCAGAAAGCAATTTGTTGACGGCAGACGGCCATCTCCGGTAATGGGAAAACTACGCGCTACACCTAGGAAAATGAAGTGCCCATTTCCAGGAGGGGATCGACCTGCCGAATCGACTTTCCATGGATGTCCGAGGCAATAAATGCTGGATCCTGACAAGTGCGGAGTACAGAACTGAAATTTCAGCCATCACGTCAAACATGGAGATTCACGTCTTTTCCGCCTTTCTCACTCTCCTGTTCTGTGCCGCAGTCCAGGTCTCTCTGTGCATGTTCTTCATTTCCAAGGGAAACTAAGACTAAAACATCATAAATTTCAACAGAGCTTAGCGGGGAGTGGAAGCGAGGATGCTGAATCGCGATCATCTCTCATTGGTCTTCCTGGAAATCCCTGCCCTCGCGTCGATTACTTCCATTGCGTGTGTCATGATTGAAGGAGAATTCCTGTTCCAGAGAATCGCCAAAAACCTCCATGTGGAAGGAGAGTCCATCTTCAACCGGGCCAGTCTCAACCGCTCGTCAGCATGAACTATCCAGACAATTACCCGTCTTGGCACAGCTGCAACTGGATTTTCACCGTGAGTTCCCTTGCTTCTCTTCCGTTCAAAGTGCCACTGTAACAACTCGATGGCACGGTTCTCGACAGTGCTCCTCCGATCTGACGCTCCAATGCGCCGACTTTCAACTGCCCAATACCCCTCTGTGCTGGCAGTCGGCTTTCCTCTACGGTGACAAAAGGTGGGCTCCACTGACTCGCGTTCTCATGCCGAACGAAGCATATATCCCATGGTCGAATTTCCAATTTTTCAGGGCTACACCTTGTAGTTTAGGAAAGTTTTTAGGCCACTTACACCCCTTCTCAAAGTGCCGCTAGGAGATGCGACGAGAACGCTCACCTGGTCCTAAGCTGACATCACAGTGTACGCCAGTCGTTTAATAGGTCTTTCGTCATCTTTCAGCCACTTGGCTTATCGCTACCTTTCATTGTACCCAAGCACGATATGAAAAAGAAATATTCCAATATGTGGGGGGTGGGGAGCGTTGTCGTTGGTCCAACTCATCCCAACATGGATCCCACTCGTTTTAGTATGAAAACTCTTATGATTAGCATGGGAGTTATCCCATGTGTAGACGGTGTTCCAATGCAATGACATGGTAAATTGGGAACTAATATGTTTTAGGCCCTTGAAAATCTCCATGAAGGATCAACTGCATCAGACGAATCCTTAAAAAGTTACCACCAAATTAAATCAAATTGTTATGAGTCAACATCAAACTTTGTTTGACAACGTCTTTTGAATTGACAATTTCCCAAGATGCTTCAGGTAAGTTGCTGTCCAAGGCATTTGTCGTTCGTTCGACTTCTTTAATGAGAATAGCAATTTCCTAGCTAGTGAAATTCGGTCGTCGACCACTCCCTCCTCTACTCTCCATGATGCTAACTGTTGAGACTGCGTCCAGAACTACACGTCCTTCGTCATTTCTTTTCCCGATTCCTGAATTCTCTTGGGATTAAAAGAATGGTGAAAATAATACCTTGGGAGAATGTCAAAGAAGGCTTTAAAAAGTCAAAACAGAAAAAAGAGATATGCCGAATAATTGCGATGTCTTTCTTGTTTTCCAGGTCAAAGCTCAACTCCTCCTTGTAGTAAGTGTGGACGCATAAAATTATCATACGACATGATTCCTGAAGGTGCATAAATTACTAATTCCGAGTCTGATTACCAGAATGTGGAATCCCTGCGAGCCCCCCTCCGAGCGGCAAAAGGTCCGTCAATTTCCGAACCAACGCGACTGATCCCAACCTGGATCGGATTTGGTCGGGATCTGCCGTTCCTTACGAAGGGAAGTATCCCTGGATGGCGCACTTCCAAGATAAAGGAGAATTCTGTGGGGGTACCCTCATCAATGATCGATACGTCCTCACTGCAGCTCAATGCGTCGATCAGAGGTCTGGCTTCTTCCTTTCGTGTCATCTCTTCTCTCGAATATTCACATTCCCTGTCCCTGTTGAAATATGATCGGTCTTTGACCATTGATGACCGTTTCATCCATGTTCGAAATACTTAGCCCATCGGACACTTTCTATGTGACCCTTGGAGATTTGGACTGGTCGACGACGACCGAAAGTCAATCCATTCGGCTGCCAGCACGGGCCATCATCCACCCTCAATACGACCCAGTTTCCAAAGTGAACGACGTCGCCCTGCTCAAGCTCAACTCTCCGGTGGACTTCCAGGCTTTCCCTCGTATCCGTCCTATCTGTACTTCTGTCTATGCCTTGCCAATTCCAGGACTAATCGGCAGGATCGCTGGATGGGGTTACGATAGCGGACGTGAGTAATTTCCTGCATCCAATCGAGACATATGCCTGTGGGAGTTGAATGCTTCTTTGATTTACTTTAAGGGAAAAGCAAAGTTCCACGTTTTTAATTGATAAATTCATTCCATTGATTTGCACTGAAATTTCCATTGAAATACCCAATTTTCCAATATCCCAATTTCAAGCATGTTTATCGATATCTATTGCAAATTTCGACACGACAACCGTGTCATCATGTTGTGTCTTTCCGAAGGAAAGCTCATCGCTTTCACAGGGATTCTTCGAATGATTGAAAATGGAGTAGAATGAAAGCACGAATTTCTTTTTTTCGCGTCCCTCTCTGGTCCGCTTACAATACACGCACCATCATATCCTCAACTTTCCTTCTCGCCTGAGAGTTAATTTCTCCACACCATAAAGAATGCTAATTCAAGGATTCACCACGAATGCTAGACATAATGATAACAAATAGAGAAATCTCAAACAGTTATGTCAATGACTTTCTCTTTCTTGGGGGGTTTCATGCGAGTGCTTTTCTATTTTAAATAAAAGACAAATTTCCACGACGAGATTGCTTTGGAGTTATCAGGACCTTGATCCCCTCCTCTTGCATGGATTCGGTCTGTGATTTCCTAGCGGGGATCAGCACGGTGATGAAAGAGTCGAAAGCGACCATCATGAGGGAGATGTTTTGCATGAACTATCAGGGCACCGTCGTCAACGACAACAATTTCTGTGCTGACTCAGAAAGAAAGAACTTCTGTAACGTGAGTCTACCAACCCATCGGAAAAGAAAGTGGAGGAAAATTGTCGAAAAAGTTTATTTTAGCTGGTTCCGTTCAGGGCGACGTCGGCGGCCCGTTCATGTTCGAAACCGAGGCTGGCTTCTACCAACAACTCGGTATCATTTCCTCGCCCACCAAGGAATGCTACAACGGCCTTGGAGGAGTCTACATTAAGACGGCGAGTGAGTGAATGCAAAACCGCTTATGCGTATGTGCCTCCGGGTCGATTCTCACGGGTTCCTTCCGATTCCAGATTACATGAACGGGTTCATCAAGCCCAACACCCAGGATGCCGTCTGGTGCTCTGCCGCCGAGCGCTGAGTCTCTTCTTAGAATTCGGTTATGAGAAGCATGAAAGATAAAACGTTCATTAATGGAAATCATGTTTCCTTTTTCTTCCAATATTTTTTTTTTATCGTTTTAGCTTCCCTAATCCACTACCTTTTTCAAGTGGATGTCTTGGACAGTAACTTGAGATTCACAATTACTTAAGATTTATTTGCAATGAATGGTGTTTGAAGAGGAAAAGCAAAAAACGCTGATTCTATTATTCTTTCCATGATTCCCTGTAACGGGCAATGACAAACATTTAAATTTTTTTCCTTCAAAGTATATAAAAACTTGAAAATTACTCTTTAAGCTTAGGGATGTAAAAATTAAAGATTTGTTAAATGTAGCCATAGTCAGAAGAATATGGCCCAAACTAGACGAATATGGGGTTTAGTGACAACCACTTATGGGGTTTAATGACCCGAACCATCTCCTTCAGATGCCCCCACAGCCAAAAAAAAATTGCCAAATCCGGCGTCATCGCTGGCCAAATACGGGGCCCTTTGAACTTCATCCCGGGTTTCTTCATAGTATTGCGAGCCTCGCAGGTTTGCTGGTGGAATAGTTGATGAGCCGCCCTTCCACCTGGACTACAGCTTTGAGCAGCAGCTTCTACTCTGGATCTCTTTGTTCCGTGCGCTATTAAATGTCCATCAAACTCACTTCAATATTGTTCTGCCTACTAGAGCAACGATACCATGATCAAAACCTTCATGATGGGTTGGTGTCTAATGAATTAATCGATTTTGGACTCTTTTTTGATCCAGTATCAATAGCGTGCACACACTGCACATGTGCACGTGCACAATTGGAAAGTAAACGCAGTGGAATGGCTGAACAGCATAAAACTGTAATTGAGAATATCCATTTGGAGAAGTTAACGTATCTGCAGCGTTCCTCTGCTCCATACTCCTGGTCCTACATGGGTTATCGATTATCCGTGATGGTGCGTATCCCATGACTTTATTTTTGTCTAAAGTATTCAAGTTTGAACCCCGAGGGTTTGACCATAACTCTATAAGTACTGTCGCACAATGTACTGGTTATTTGGCATCAGGTGCACACTTCTACATACCGTTTCCGTATTCCCATACCTTAACATTTTATATTTCCCAGTGTCATACATTACAATATATATGTATATATATATTGTATACATATATTCATATATATATATATATATATATATATATATATATATATATATATATATGAGTAAAGAACGTAGATAAAGGATGCCGTCTGGTGCTCTGCCGCCGAGCGCTGAGTCTCTTCTTAGAATTCGGTTATGAGAAGCATGAAAGATAAAACGTTCATTAATGGAAATCATGTTTCCTTTTTCTTCCAATATTTTTTTTTATCGTTTTAGCTTCCCTAATCCACTACCTGTTTCAAGTGGATGTCCTGGACAGTAACTTGAGATTCACAATTACTTAAGATTGATTTGCAATGAATGGTGTTTGAGGAGGAAAAGCAAAAAACGCTGATTCTATTATTCTTTCCATGATTCCCTGTAACTGGCTAGGACAAAAATTTTTATTTTTTTCCTTCAAAGTATATTAAAACTTGAAAATTACTCTTTAAGCTAAGGGATGTAAAAATTAAAGATTTGTTAAATGTAGCCATAGCCAGAAGAATATGGCCCAAACTAGACGAATATGGGGTTTAGTGACAACCACTTATGGGGTTTAATGACACGAACCATCTCCTTCAGATGCCCCCACAGCCAAAAGAAATCGCCAAATCCGACGACATCGCTGGCCAATTACGGGGCCCTTTGAACTTCATCCCGGGGTTCTTCATAGTATTGAGAGCCTCGCGGGAGGATTGCTGGCGGAATAGTTGATGAGCCGCCCTTCCACCTGGACTACAGCTTTGAGCAGCAGCTTCTACTCTGGATTTCTTTGTTCCGTGCGCTATTAAATGCCTAGAAAACTCACTTCAATATTGTTCTGCCTACTAGAGCAACGATACCATGATCAAAACCTTCATAATGGGTTTGGTGTCTAATGAATTAATCGATTTTGCACTCTTTTTTGATTCAGTATCAATAGCGTACACACACTGCACATGTGCACAATTGGAAAGAAAACGTAGTGGAATGGCTGAACAGCATAAAACTGTAATTTAGAATATCCATTTTGAGAAGTTAACGTATCTGTAGCGTTCCTCTGCTCCATACTCCTGGTCCTACATGGGTTATCGATTATCCGTGATGGTGCGTATCCCATGACTTTATTTTTGTCTAATGTATTCAAGTTTGAACCCCGAGGGTTTGACCATAACTCTATAAGTACTGTCGCACAATGTACTGGTTATTTGGCATAAGGTGCACACTTTTACATACCGTTTCCGTATTCCCATACCTTAAGATTTTATATTTCCCAGTGTCATACATTACAATATATATGTATATATATATATGAAAAGAATAACCCTTCGGGATAACTTATTCAGGATAACCTAGGTGCTGGGAGCGATAACCAACAACGACAGAGGCATGAGGTAATTATATTAGTGAGAAAATCACGCCGATCAAGCCAAAAATAATGGCCAGCACGAGCCCTAACTATTCCGAGAAAATAAGAGGAGAATTTTAAAAAGGCGAAGGATAGCTAAGGAGGCCTAATGGACTGAAAAGCCGTAGGAGTTTCGTCAGGGGCACGATCCTATCAAACAACTTGGGCGATGTAGTAAAAGTTTTAGTTCTGTAAAATTTCCATCGAGTCTCATCTCATGGGAATCCCCGAAAAATCAGTTGAGGTTCCGTGTCGCAATGCCAGAATGCGCTGATCAGCAGTGCTTCTACTCTTAACAAGCTCAGGTTAGAAGAGGGAAATGCCCTTTTTCCGATGAGGAACTGCAATACCATTTCGCTTTTCTCGCATGCTACATCGGCACAGAAATTTAGATAACCAAAAGCATAGTGGGTAAGGAATTTCTCGATCTTCGTGGGGCGAGTAAATCCCCGTTTTCACGTTATTTTCCTTCGTCCTCTACCATTCCCTATAGGAGGTACTACCCTTTAAGGAGAAATGATCAGGTTAGGTTTGATAACTAGCGAGTTTGTTTGCCCTTCGGGCAAATAAACTCGCTATGGTCGCGCCTTCGGCGCTCGATTACCTTGGATAGTGATTAACTCATTTCTTATTTGTTAAATGGCAAACACGTATTTAAAGTGCGTCACCATTCAAATACGGGACATGTGGTGACTAAAGTCTCAATTTTTATCAAAATCATTACTTCCATAATTTCTAGTGTGCCTAACTTGAAATCTTTCCATGTGTCCCTTTTTGTAAGGGTGGAAAATACATTTTGCAGTACTACACTCCTAAAATCTACGCTAATGGAACATATTGCAAAAGTAGGATTTGTTTTATACTCAGCCATCAAATAGATACTTTTGAGGGAAGTTAAAACTTTCTGTCTCTGTTTCGTTGGATAAAAAAGAAAATCTGGAAAATGGGACTTCTGGGAAAAGCCCTGATGGGTTTTAAAGAAATTTTTTTTTCTTCTGAAATGTAGACTCGGGGAACTCCATGCCACGCAGTTTCAGCCTTATATGTTTCCAATTTTTGCTGGCCGAAAAAATGTATTTGGAAAAGCGACCCAACCAAAAGCTGTGCTCTGAGGAGACGTATGAAAAAAGTTTAACTTTTCCTTAAACCAACATCACGTCCGTGATGTGTGCGCCAGCTACTTTTCTATGCCTACCCGGTGAACTACATGCCCACAAAGTTTCAATATTATACGTTTGCCCTTTTCGCTGGTGAAAAAGCATGCTTGGAAAAGCCGACCCACCCAAAATCTATGCCCGGAGGGGATGCCCCATGAAAACTGAATACTCCTTCAGCTCAGTAATATCATGTCACTTATACATGTCCCAAGTTTCCCTTCCCATTTCTGTCCAATTCGGCACAAAAAATTTCTTTCAAAACATCGCCCCTTGAAAAAATTCCCCCAGGGGATATATCAAGACTTAACATTTTTCTTTAACTCCTTGTCTCAGTAGTCACATTCATTCAAAGTTTCAGCTTTTTATGTTCATCAGTTCAACTGATGCCAAAAAATTAGTTGAAAACATCTCCCTTTGAAATTTGTGCCCTCAGGGCATTCACTTCTAAAGTCTGAAGTTTTCTGCAGCACCCCAACAGGTAGTTATGTACCAAGTTTCATCTTTCCACACTAGCTCAATACGCCAAGACAAAAAAAAAATTGAAAACGTCGGCTCACAAAAATATGCCCCGAGGGCATGAATCTAACATTTTTCATTTTTCCTGAACTCACCATCTCGGTAGGCATGTCCATGCCTAGTTTCAGCTTCCCATGTCTCTCCGTTTTACTGAAGCAAAAATAATGTTATGATGGTGGAATGAGTAACGGGACATGGAAGGCAAAAAAAAGTTAAAGGAAAGCCAGTAAATGGCCGGGAATTGAACCCGGACCTTCTGATTACCATTTAGAGATGCTACTACTACACCACCGAACCCAGGAAATGCAGTTGGCTCTCTGAATGCCATCCTCATCTGTCACGAAATATATTTAAGAAAAACGTTTACCCCCAAAATTTATACCCCCAGGGCATGTACCTCCAAAGTGCGATTTTTTCTTAGCTCTGCATCCCAAAAGGTACATGTGTACCAAATTTCAGATTTCTAACCCTTCCAGAACATGGTTAGAATTAGCGTCAGTCAGTCAGTCAGTCAGTCACGATCGTCTATGTACAGTATATTAGATAAGAAGGGGATTGAAACTTTTTGTTGCTGTTTGGTCATTCTTTACTATTCGATTCAGTTTTTCACCGGAAACTCCAAATCCTTTGCAGTAGCGTTGTCTATCATCTCTGAATACAGCTTCCTTTTTATCATTTATGGTGAAAATTAGCTTGAATCGCGACTCCTGTGACGTTTAAGCCTCACGTTTCCGCGCTTTACAAGGTAGTGACAATCTGGAAATCCAGTGTCAATGACCAATGCCAAGCAGAAGCGCCTCGCCGACACCGTGGCCAAAATTGCCAAAGACTACCAGGAGATGAAGAGGCGTCGCTCCTCTGAGGAGGACGGGTGGAAACTGAGATGAGAGTGCAAACGTAGAGATGAGAATCACCTGCAGCAGAAGCTCAAGCAGCTTCACGTCCACATCAAGACCCTCGAAACTCTGTGCAAAGACGAATTTGATCGCATCGGGGCCGCATACAAGGCTGACATTGACAAACTGCCGGAAAGGAAACGCATACCATCTACCAAGTGCAGTCTCTGACGAGCATTCGATTCCGTCCCAATCTGCCCATTATGATAACGCCGAGAAGTCGTCTGGCAAAGGCGTCCCGTCGCAATCTGTAAACCTGACCCAAACAGGCGATAGACCTGCACGCGCCAAGCCCTCAAACCTCATCTCTGGCAGAGGCAGCTGCACAGGTATCCCTGTCGTCCACTCGCCGCCTCAGAAGGGCCTGGCAAGGTGCAGGACGGTTTCCTCAATCTCCAGATGGACGCCATGAACAGCATCCATAGTCTTCTCTGCAAGTTTAGCAAACATTCCAACTCCTTATCTTAGAGATCAGGAGTTGGAATGTTTCTGCTTTTGTATTTGGTGGTCATGCCAACGCAACACTTTGCGGAAAAGTTTTATTGCCGCAGCATCGTGGTCTGTTTCTTGCATTGCCTTCAAAGTTGAGTTCAATTTGCACCATATGTAGCCTACTGTACATTGGTGGCTTTTTTTTAACGTGAAACTTTTCATTTTGTTTTTATCCTTTTCTCCTCCTCTTCAATGTTGCGGATGGAAATGCTTGAATGTCCGTCTCAGCGCAACTTCGAATGCAATTTGGGAGGAAAAGCGTTCATATCTTTGATATGAACAGTTGTCCAGTTGTCCACATGCACAAATAAATCTTGCCTCTTACTAGAACACTTAACAACGAGCATTCCAATTGCCTTCATCGTAAGCTACGTGAGTCATCTCCTCAGTACATGAAGCTGCATTAAACCTCCTTGGGTTCCTGTTTTCTGTGAATCAAATTCGAACAGGACCTACATCCCTGGCCTCGCGAATCTCATTACCAAAGTGAATGAGGAAAGCCTGAGGAGCTATTAGGAGCGATTACAAGAGCCTGAGGCCCCTACTGCCCAAGGACAACAGGGGCTCCAGGCTCTTGTAATCGCCCATTGCCAGATACAAGATTATCGGAATGAATTACCACCAATAAAAATATTTCAAGTTTGGACAGCTCATAGGAGAACCTTGAAATGTAAAAATTGTGGAAAAAAAATAAGTAAGCGAACATCACAGGAACAAGTTAGAACCGTCAGCTTCGACGAAAGCAAGGCGATGTTGGGTTCGAAGACCTTTAACGTATGGATACAACATTTTAGGTTTTCTTCCCCCTCGGCCGGGATTGAAAATGGGAATTTAATCGCAGGGAAACCGGCTTGTTTAAAGTTTCATCCCTTTACGTCTATTTATCCGTACGATCTTTATTACATATCCCGTTTATAATTATATTTATCCGCATGATCTATTTATTCGCAGAGCGATGCGGATAGATCCGTCTATCGGACTGTAACGATTAAATCTCATGGTTAAGTCTCATGGGAATTTGTCTTTCAAAACAAGGAGATAACCGAAAGTACTGCGTACTAGATGCTGAAAGGCGGGAACGAGAAATTAATCAGCGTCTTCCTCATGTGAACAACAGGCCAGATAATAATTTAAAAATCCTGTATTACTTATAATTCCCTCATTTCTTCCATCTCATTTCCTCAAGGAGCACAGAGGAAGCACTGCGATACGGAAGAATTACTGATATGAAGCAAATGATCGCCGAATGCGTGTGCCATGAGCAGATCCGAATGGCAATCTCGAAATCGATGGGAAATAAACGCTTTCGCTCGAGCATTTCGTGGAAATAGGAGGATCTGCAACGGAGTAATTTGTTGCATGCAGATCCCCATTAACAGAGATTGGAGAGGCAGCTGCGCGGCCGGGATGGCGCGGGGATGCAGCGCTCCGGGGCCGACGCTGATGATTGAGTCTGCTTCTTGGGAACATTTGCCCGTGTGGAGTAGAGAGCTGAAAATTCGATGGAGGTCTTCGTCTTTCTCGTGTTCTACGTTGCCGTCCGGGTCCGTCGTATTTTCATTTCTTAGATGAGGAGTGACGGTGACGTAGTTAGGTGACGTAGTTAGGTGACGTAGTTAGGTGACGTAGTTAGGTGACGTAGTTAGGTGACGTAGTTAGGTGACGTAGTTAGGTGACGTAGTTAGGTGACGTAGTTAGGTGTCGTAGTTAGGTGTCGTAGTTAGGTGACGTAGTTAGGTGACTTAGTTATTTTTGCGTTTTCGTAGGGCTCAGGGGGGAGTGAAGGCGGGGATGGTGGATCGCGGCCGTCTTCGATTGGTCTGCCTGGTAATTGCAGTTGTCGTGTCCTTTTCTCACATTATTTTCGGACATTTGCACGCTAAGGCGGAATTTCTGCAGTGAATCGCCAGAATCCAGCGTGCGGAAAGGAAGTGCGCCTCTCGCCGTTGGAGTCGCGCCCTCTCGTCAGCGAGAATTACCCACAGAATTTCCCATTCTTGAACCGTTGCAGCTGGAAGTTCACCGTGAGTCTCTGAATTCCTTCTCTTTCGGGCGATGCATAATAATTTACTTCATTCCCGACAGTGTTTCTCGGACATGACGCTGCAATGCGCCGACTTTCAACTGCCGAAATCCCCGCTGTGCTGGCAGTCGGCCTTCCTCTACGGACACAAAAGGTGGGCGAAGGGCTCCACCGGCCTTTCATGGGCGATGGAGGTAATTCGTCCTTGTTGGGTTCCTTTCAGTGCTTGCGGGACGAAGAATCCCTTTCGGAATCCGGTGAACGTGGGCAAGAATTTCGTGGCGATTCTCTATGCGTTCTATGCGAGTGGACCTGGATTTGATTGCACCGTCACTTGCGGTCAGGAAATTAAATATGGAAAGCGTGTAGAAAAACGTTTAGAAAATTTTTAGTGAAATATTATGCACCGCTGCTTGGCATTCCGCGTTCTCGCTTCCTTCCAAGTCCGATTTGTGCAGAAATCGTTCATTAATCGAAAAAGAGGTAAAGTAGGTTATTCAATACTTCGCCGAATTCGCTGTGAAAGTTTGAATGCATGGATTAAAAAAAAAATCTAAATAACTTCCCTTCGCGATGGTTTGCTCCCCAAGGCGAAACCCATGTGGCACAGATCCGTCGATTAGACGCGGAACTTGGGTGGAAACAGATTGCCAGGGCAATGCTGTCGCGGCCGAGAAGCACGGAGGCTTCAACTTCAGCGATGCCGGTGGATGCATTGCCGTTATTTCGTTGCGCTTCCTTAATTTCGTGCTGAATGAAACAAAATTCTTTGGAAAGTTTGTCCAGTTAGGAGTAAGTCTCCTCGGTAGAGATGCCAAGGGTAGACCTGCATGTTTCCTTGGAGAAGTAATCGCTTTCGTTGTGGATGGACGTTGGTCCAGAATGCTTATGTATCCAAGGAATTTTTCACGCGTCCACGGGATTCGACACAGCGATTTCCCGAACGTAAAAGGGGTGTCCAATCCATTCGTGCACCCATTGGTATTATTGGCTGAACTATGTGCGGTCTAGCTTTCTGACGTGAGGAATTCCCCATCTGTTTTCATTTTAGATACGGTGTGGTTTATTTGGCTGTGATTCGTGTCGAAATTGTGGAAATATTAATATGAGCAGTAATTATCTAAAAGAGCCGAAGGAATGAATATTTTGTGTTGGATTGGACTGCCTTGCTTGCGAATCTCCATGTGGGAAGGAGTCACTGCAAATAGCGGCAGAGAAAAGATGCAGACAAATCGACGTTTTTTCCACGGAGGTGATATTCTCATTTCCACGTCGAGTCTTAGTATACTCGCAAACGTTTGTTCAACATTTCCAGGTCGATACATCTACGTATTGATATATACAACAATATATTCAACGTCTGGTCGAAGTTGCTGTGCTACTTGGGAAGTAGCTCCTTTTTCTTCATTAATCCCGAAACACCTTCCGTTCCTCACCTCAAGTTGTCTTTCATAATCACAGCCGGAGGTGAGACGTCATGCTCCGCGATAGTTTCGCTGATGCAAATTTCCTTTTTTTTCCAGGTCCAAGTACAACCCCACCTTGCGGTAAGCATGGAAATGGAAAAAATCTGCCGGCCATGATATTCTTCCTGAAAATGAATCATTGTTATTCCGAGTCTGTTTTCCAGAGTGCGGAATCCCTCCGAGTGCCAAGCTGAGCAGCAGGAGATCTGCCGATCTACCCAACGCGACCGATCACATCCTGGATCGGATTTGGTGGGGAATACCAGTACCCTACGAGGGGAAGTATCCCTGGATGGCACACTTCCAGGATAAAGGAGAATTCTGTGGGGGTTCACTCATCAATGATCGATACGTCCTCACTGCGGCTCAATGCGTCGATCAAAGGTCTGGATTCTTCCTTAAGTGATGGGTGCCCCCCCCCCCCCAAAAAAAAATACCAAACTTTACACAACTACAGATGGGATACCATATCATCTCCAGGAAATGTACAGAGTTTCACATCCAATTCGAGGTCATACTTCCTCGATTCGGCTCGAATTGAGGAAGTGTGGCCTCTTGTCGGTGACAACACAATAAGGAAGTCGATCAAACAGCGTCTGTGCGCAGTCGCGAACCAAAAAGAAGGTGTCATCAAACATCTCTTTAATTGGGATCTATCGTGCTTCCTTGCACAATCGCCCTTTTGAGATCGCGTTGGAGGAAAACTGTTATTAAGGTAGTTAGCCTCCCATTTCATTGAAATTTTGCTTATTTCCTGCAGAAAATTCAAATGGTAATCTGACTGCAGGCGTTTAAATTTTGTGACTTTTGGGGGCCACCGGGAATAATCGGTCGACGGTACCATATTATTCATGTTCGTAACACATAGTCCTTCCGGCACTTTCGATGTTACCCTGGGGGATTTGGACTCGTCGTCGACGACCAAAGGCCAATCCCTTCGCCTTCCGGCACGGGCCATCATCCACCCTCAGTACGACCCGGTTTCCAAAGTGAACGACGTCGCTCTGCTCAAGCTCAACTCTCCGGTGGACTTCCAGGCTTTCCCGCTCGTCCGTCCCATCTGCATATCCGCGGATGCCTTGCCCATTCCGGGACAAACGGGCAGGATCGCGGGATGGGGTGATACCATCGGAGGTGAGTAATTGCCCTCGTCAAGTCTTACTTTACGCAGTTGACTTGCATTCTGTGTTTTTCACATGCTGAGCTGAAATTCCCGCAGAACATTCTTGCCTTTTTCAAACCAAACCAAAAATCATGATTGCATAATATTAATTACCATCTTAAAGGAAAAAGTTTTTCCGAAATACAGCCCGTCCTGGCCCAGAAAGGACCACATTTAATCCGCAAAAGGGGCCCAAGTACCCAAGTAGCACATAACATTAATCGAACGTTGGTTTGTTCCGAATTGAATGTATCACTGTTATAGGTGTATAATTCTACGTTGAATCAACTTTGTTTCAGCGCCGTGACCGTCACCGTTTATACACCCACATTAAATCAACATCAATTCAAAGGATTCTTTACCAGTGCGAAATTATTTATATTTGATGCCTATTGTCAAAATTTATTTGTGTACTCCATCAGGGTTCGTTGAATAGTTCAGGCAATCGCCCAGAATGCATTTCGATAAATAAATTTAAAAAATGCTTGATTTCGGCCAGACCTATTTCCCGAAATATGAGCGGACGTGTTTGGGATAGGCCATCAAGGGCTTGGTGAAAGAGAAGTGACGTGACGACACTAGCTAAAAATATTCTAATTAAGGTTGAACTGTAATGGCTGCTGAAATCATTCATATTTTCCCTATTCATAATACGAAAGTATTTTTTCTGGGACGGTCTTGATTTTATAAGGTCATCATTTAGTGTTTCCCATATGTATCTTTTTTTTTACTGCTGCGTTACATGACTACCTGAGTAAGGTAAATGCCTTTGGCACGTATCGAGGTAATATAGATTATCCAAAGAAAGGACAGACTCACGTGAAACAACTTCACCGCGTCAGCATCGCTCACATTAATTAAAACGACGCTTCAGTATGGCATCAATCCTTTAACATTGATTCCATGTGGATTCGATGTTGAAAGAGCAATATTGCCTCGCCTGACATCTGTTGATGTCAGGCGAGAGGCGGCTTTGCCTGATCTTGTGGCCGAAAGGGCTGTCTTGACCTCCTCTTCGGTGAAGGGAGATGAAAAACAATGTTAGACACTTTCAAAGGCAGATCCTCGAGCCAAACAGTGACGTACGTGGCGGCGAGGTCGATGAACGAGACTCCAGTTGTGAGTTTGCGCTGGAAGCCAGTCTCAATAAAGGTTGTCGGCGCGAGTACCTGGTCGCAGGTGCTACGGGTCGGTCGGAAGCCAGCTTGTTCAGGTGGGATGTGTGCTTCGACTATATGGCACAATCTGGCTAATAACAGCCGTTCGAGAAGCTTGGAAGCTATGCATAGCAATGAGATAGGTCTGAAGCTTTTTGGGTCGTGTGAAGGCCTGCCAGGTTTTGGAATGGCAATTATTTTCGATTGTCTTAGGTATTTTTCCTGAGGCTTGGATGTTAGGACTTGGTCCTAACAGGTGTGTAGGACTTTCTATAGCCTCTGGGGATATCGGCAGTAGCTTCTTTTATCATAAGGTTTGCAAAACGATGGAAATTTTCAAGTTTTGGCGGTATGCGGTGGATCGTTTTATCGTCTGCTTCCGTGTAGGAGGTCCAGTCAGCTTTTCTAAAATTCCACCGTGGTTCAGGCAGAGAGGTAATGGTTGGGATTTCTATCCCGACATGAATCAGGACAGGTCTGTACTGACCATGGAGAAAGTGATCGAGGACAGTCCTGGAGCCTTGTAGACGTTGCCCATTATGGTCACAGGAAACGAAGCACAGATCAGGCGTGGAAACTTTGCACCATCTACCGGAATCGAACGTGCCTCTGTCTTTCGCATCATACAGAAGGAATGTGTTCTGGGTCGAGGCCCATTCTACCAGTTGTTCACCAGCAGTATCATTTCCCGGGTAGCCCAACGCTATATGGTGGCTATTTAAGTCTCCAGTGTAGATGGTAGGATGACTTGGGACGGGCATTAGTGGCAGAGTCAAAATCAAGTTAGGTGGCTTATAGGTGTTAGGAGTCAGGAGTCAGGAGAGTTAGTGATATCAAGAGGCGATTTCGCCCATTTCGATATCACGTGTCGAGGTCGAGCGTTCCTTAATTTTAGGGTAGGCCTAACCCTCTTAAAGCTATATATTTTTGTATTTTTGTTTTGTTTTTTTTTTGTTTTGTTTTGTTTTGTTTTGTTTTNCAGTCTTGCGTCAATGTATCTGTTGTAGGTTCACGATAAGCACTCACGCCCACAATGCCCACTGGTCACTCGACTTATACACCTACATAGAAAGTTCGAACATTTTCCAGATTTTTCTAGAAAAAATCGAAATGTCTAAATTTCACCTTTACAACCTGATACCATTCTCTTATGAAAGAGATGAATCTCAGCAACGAGGTTCCTACGGAATTATTAAAGCCTCGTTCCCCTCCTCTTGCATGGACTCGGACTGGGGATTCCAAGATGCTACCAGAAAAGTGATGAGAGAATCGACGGCGACCATCATGACGGAGGTGAAATGCAAGAACTATCAGGGCACCCTCGTCAATGACAACAACTTCTGCGCCAATACAGGAGGAAGGAACTTCTGTAACGTGAGTCTACCAACCCATCGGAAAAGGAAATGGAAGAAAATTGCCGAAAGAGTTTATTTTAGCCGATTCCATTCAGGGCGACGTCGGCGGACCGTTCATGCTCGAAACCGAGACTGGCTACTACCAACAACTCGGGATCATGTCCTCACCCACCAAGGAATGTATGGACTCCTCCAACGGCATTGGAGGAGTCTACATGAAGACGGCGAGTAAGTTGATGCAAAACTGACTATGTGCATATGCCTCCATGCTGGTACTCATGAATTCTTTCTGGTTCCAGATTACGTGAACGGCTTCATCAAGCCCAACACCCAGGATGCCGTTTGGTGCACAGTCCCTGAGAGCTGATTTTCCTTCTTTGAATTCAGTTCTGAGCAGCATGAAAGATAAAACATTCTTCATGCCTATCATCTGTGTCTGTCTTTTTCCATGTGGTTTTCTTAATGCTAATTCATATCTTTTAGCATGCGGAAGTCATGGACCCAGGATTTCATATTAAGGGCATTGTTGCATGACGTCCCACCTCCGGCTGTAATCATGAAAAACAACTTGAGGTGAGGAACGGAAGGTGTTGGGGGATTAATGAAGAAAATAGAGCTACTTCCCAAGTTGCACAGCAACATCGACTAGACATTGAGTATTCGTAGATGTATCGACATGGAAAAGCATTGGAATGCTGATTTTCTTTTTTTTTCCCAATGATTCCCTGCAACTAGCAATGCAAGAAAATTTACGTGTTCTTAAAAACAAATTTAAATTTAAAAATTTAGTTTTCATCTATAGTTTACATATATGAATGATATATGAAAAGTAGCATTCAACATTCCTATGAAAGTTAAAGTACATTTTACAAAAGACAATTTATAAACATATTTTCAGAGTGGAATTCATGGAAATAAATCCCTTAACTGCCTAATGAAAGTGCCCGGGAGACCAAAACAGAAATACCGGAGACCAGAATGGTTTCTGAGCTGCAAATCTGGCCTGAAATTGATGTTTCATTAGATGAGTCACTTTGGAGATGCTTCAGGGAGACGGAACGTTGCCTGACTTCCTGGGAGAGGTGAGATTGAGGATGATCCGATTTGGGAAGGATTAGACTAAAATGAAGACGCACAACTTCAAAATGTATACCACTCGTTGGGGTGGCATCTAGACAACAAATCTAGTCGAAATGTGACTTTTCATCAAATCGTGTCACAGTCGAGATGCAGGGGGAAAAAGGACGGCCTCTGAAGGAAAGGGGATGCATGATTGAGGCATTATCCTATGCGTACGTTTATCTTCCTTAAATATAGTCAAAAAGTCAAAAAAAATAGACCACTATGAAAGAACTTGAAAGAGATGATAGGTATTCCATGAAATATCTCTGTTGAATCAGTGAAATTTGACAAGATATACAAACCTGGATTTGCTTAACAGGGCACTTCTTAATGCATACTCATTTGATGGCATAATGGACTTGTAAGTACCAAAAATTAGGATCGATTTCACTCACCCCTTGATCACACTTACCCAGACTTACCTTTTTCCAGATGTACAGCACGATACTCTTTAATAAGACTATAAAACTGTAATCATGCTATTATGATGGCGCATATGCCCGGGTCTATTACTTGAAGGTTGTTCTACCTATTTTGCGATTGCATCTTGGAAATTCACGTCTGATTCGGAAAGTTATGTTTCGGTTTAAATACCCCTGAAATGACATTGTTGGGAAAATTCAATCGGGAAAAAAGTATTCCTGTACCACATGTCGGAGAGGCAGACGATAGCAATGCGGGAAATGGGAAATTCTGCAGGATAGTAATTTGTTGCTGGCAGACGGCCATATCATGTAATGAGAAAACAACGTGCTACACGTGCGAAAATAAAGTGCCCATTTGCGGGTGGGGAACGACCTGCCGAATCGACTTTCCAAGGACGACTGAGGCCATAAATGCTGGATCTTGATAAGTGCGGAGTACAGAACTGAAATTTCAGTCATCACGTCAAACATGGAGATTCACGTCTTTTCCGCCTTTCTCACTCTCCTGTTCTGCGCCGCAGTCCAGGTCTATCTGTGCATGTTCTTCATTTCCAAGGGAAACTAAGACTAAAACAAGATCATGAATTTCAACAGAGCTTTGCGGGGAGTGGAAGCGAGGATGCTGGATCGCAGTCATCTCCGATTGGTCTGCCTGGTAATCCCTGCACTCGCGTCGTTTACTTCCATCGCGTGCCTCATGATTATCACGCACTGAAGGAGAATTCCTGTTCCAGAGAATCGCCAAAAACCTCCATGTGGAAAAAGAGTCCAGCTGCAACCGGGCCAGTCTCATCCGCTCGTCAGCATGAACTATCCAGACAATTACCCGTCTTGGCACAGCTGCAACTGGATTTTCACCGTGAGTTCCCTTGCGTCTCTTCCGTTCAAAGTGCCACAGTAACAACTGGATGGCACGGTTCTCGACAGTGCTTCTCCGACATGACGCTCCAATGTGCCGACTTTCAACTTCCCGATACCCCTCTGTGCTGGCAGTCGGCCTTCCTCTACGGTGACAAAAGGTGGGCTCCACTGGCTCGCGTTCTCATGCCGAAGGAATCATATATCCCATGGTCGAATTTCCAAATTTTCAGGGCATGTGGAACATCAAATCCTTTCAAAAATCCGGTGAATGTGGGGAAGAGTTTCACGGCGATCCTCTACGCTGCTCTTGCGAGTGGACCAGGATTCGACTGTAGTGTCACATGCGGTCAGCAAATTATCTTCTTTCGTCATCTTTCAGCCACTTGGCTTTCCGCTAACCTTCAATGTACCCAAGCAGGTTGTGTAAAAAAAAGAGTTCTATGTGTTAATAGTGGTGAGCGTTGTCGTTGCAACATGGGTCCCATTCGTTTTAGCATTAAATCTATTATGACTAACAAAGGAGTTATCCCGTGAGTAGACGGTTTTCCAATGCCATGACCTTTTCGTTGCAGTCATTCCAGTCGCTTATAATTTCGTACATATTCTCTATGCAGACATGAATGGAATTCTATTTGCAAAAGGAAGGATTTATGTTTCAGGCCTTTTCACGCTGGTCCCATCAATGCCGTGTCAATTCGTCTATATCTCCCTCAATTTATCTAATGGCATTATCAATTCAAGCGCTCCGAATTTGGCACTCTGTTCCGCAGTAATTCACGACCGAACAAAGCCAAAGTGCGCATGAGTTTTCCGTTCAGGCCAAGAATTTCGACAATTTTACAGGGTCTTTATCAAATAGGCACCCTATTTCGGATGTCATAGCTTCTAAAAGGATCGTCGGATTCAGCTGATACTTGACAGAGAGTTTCACGAATTCCCCGCCACTGCAGAATGCCGATTGAGGGCGCTGTAGTTGACCGCGGAGCCCCATCTCACGTGTCGCGCCACTTCTCAGGAAGGAAAATAATTAATGTAGGGCCATGAGTCTCTCTGCCAAATGTCGGCTACTTTCGAGAGCCAATTAAAAAATATGGAGGTGGATTGTGACTTGTTCCCACCCGATTTTGTTTGGTCAAAATTTTACAGGGAATTGTCAGAGGCGGTAAAAGTTTGGCATGGAGCTCAAAACTCATTCGTCCCCTCCAAGACTGAAAAAAAATAAAAGAAATACGTTTAGCGTTCTCGCCAATACAGGAGAGATAGTGAAGCTTTCAATGCAGCAACGGGTCACATTCATTGGTTTTTATTATCAAAATGGAATCTCCGAAGCCAGAGCAATGCTTCTTCACGGTTCCAATTCGCATGTGCGACCATCTGCGCCCCATGTCGATATATACATGGTGAAGCAGGGAACTAATAAGTTTTAGGCCCATGAAAATCTCCGTCAAGTATCAGCTGCATCAGACGATTCCTTAAAAGGTAACCACCAAACTAAATCGGATTGTTATAATTCAACATCGACCTTTGTTTAACAACATCTTTTGAATTGATAATTTCCCCATGACGCTCCAGCTGAGATTCTGTAGCAAGGCATTTTTCCTTCGCTCGACTTCTTCAATGAGCATCGCAATTTCCTAGCTGGTGAAATTCGGTCGTCGACCACTCCCTACTCTACTTTCCATGATGGTAACATTGAGACTGCGTCCAGAACTTTTCCTTGAGGTTGTTCGTTTTACGATGAGATTCGGTGGCTCCTGTCTTTTTCAGGATGTTTCCAAAGATTTGACAGGATCTCGTTAAAACTTCCTGCCAGGGCGTATACAACGGCAGGGAACGCACAGAAAGTTTGCAGAAAGCTCCAACGAATGATAATGAAAGTCTACACGCCCTTCGTTATTTCTTTTCCCGATTCCTGAATTCTCTTGGGATTAAAAAAAATGGTGAAAATAATACCCTGGAAGAAGGTCAAAGAAAGCTTTAAAAAGTCAAAACAGAAAAAAGGGATATACCAAATAACTGCGATTTCTCTATTGTTTTCCAGGTCAAAGCTCAACTCCTCCTTGTAGTAAGTGTGGTCGCATACAATAATCATACGACATGATTCCTGAAGGTACATGAATTCCTAATTCCTAGTCTTATTACCAGAATGCGGAATCCCTGCGAGCCCCCCTCCGAGCGGCAAGAGATCTGTCGATGTCCGAACCAACGCGACCGATCCCAACCTGGACCGGATTTGGGTGGGATTTGCCGTTCCTTACGAGGGTAAGTATCCCTGGATGGCACACTTCCAAGATAAAGGAGAATTCTGTGGGGGTACCCTCATCAATGATCGATACGTCCTCACTGCAGCTCAATGCGTCGATCAGAGGTCTCGATTCTTCCTTTCGTTTCATCTCTTCTCTTGAATATTCACATTCCTTGTCCCTGTTGAAATATGATCGGTCTTTGACCATTGATGACCGTTTCA